CCAAGCTGGGAGCAGCAGCACAAGCCATGGGAGCAGAGGGAAGTGTCGGGGATCTTGGTTTTGCTCTGGGCTCTGCAGCAGGAGCTCTCCTGGCACACAGCAGCACCCCCTGCACCACTGAAGGGCTCCCCACAGAATCCCCCAAAGCAGCTCCCCTCAGTGCCAGGCAGAGATGCACACAAACCCACTGGACACAGTCAGAGATGCCATCAGGGTGTTGTTCCAGGGCTCATTTCTCATTTTAGAGGTCAATTTTCATTGTAGAGGTTAGGTCTCATTTTCATGCACTATCTATCAGTGTTTCTAACGCTGCACTCACTGACCTTTGTGATTTGCAGACCCCTAAGAATTGCCAGTGGAGACAAAGAGCTAAGGAGAGCTGAAATCAGCCTCTGACAAAAGGCTGGCTTGTTTTACACCTTACAGAGCAAATCAAATTTAAAAACAAGTCCATCTACAGATGCCCTGTAACAACATTTGGATTTCCACCAGAGAAAATTTAAATTTGCAGCTCAAATATTATTTTAAATCCCCTTGAAATGCTTTTGAAAAACTTGTTCTTATATTTAATAAAATGCAAGTGGAAATCACTGGGCAGTCTCTTTTTAAAGCCCATTTTATTCAAATTCAGGTTTGTGTAAATGCATAGATTTGCCTATTTTCGAAGAACCCATTAAGAGAAGCTCCAAATCAAGCTTTAAAATGTGTTATTAACCATCCAGCCAGCCATTTGAAAGATACATGCCTGTGATAAGAGTATTGTATTGCCATTAACCTGTGGGATGGTTCGAGACATCTCTTATTCACACAAAACTCTAAATGCATCTAATTAAAGCCACAAGATCAGATGTCCATATTAATCACTCACCGGTTTAATTAAGGTAAACCAGCTTGTCACAAAGCCAGCCTTCTCTATTCCTCACCATTATTGACTTTTAATACTTCTCTGGATTGGTGATTCCTTGTTTAGGGCACTGCCAAATTCAGGGAGAGCACACCAGTGTCCCCCAGGAGCTGCTGGGGACACCAGGGGAATCTCCATCAGTGAAATTTTCCAGAAAAGCACACAGGGGGGGTTAAGGATGCTGATTTTGGGGTAAATCCAGCTCTGAGAACCCCCCTGGAAGGATTTGGTGATTCCTTGGGTGCTCCCCCTCCACTCTGGCGCCCACAGCTGTGACAAAATGCCCCAAACCAGAGAGAGCAGAGGCAAAAAGGGATTATGGATATTCCCAATTCTCCCCAGGCATACCTGCTGCCAGAAGTGATGAACATTTGTTCTGGGAAGAGCTGCTACCAGTGGAACACTTAGCATATGAACACTAACCTAATTCCTGTTGGAAATAAACCAATTTCCACTCTCTCCTTTACCAGAGGAGTATTTCAAGCTAACAATAAAATCTCCACTGTAGCATGTCACAGCAGCAGCTCCCTGGTAGCAGGCTGGAATTTTAAGTCTTAATGCTGCAATATCAGCTGTAATGAATCCTACGTAAATATGACTCCTTAAAAATAAAAAGCCTTTTTCTTCCCTAAAAACCATGTATGAAGGAGGATTTAAAGGAAAAGGAAACCTCCAGACTCTCCCTGCTGCCAGTAATGAGAAGCTTCTGAAACAATTTAACTATTCCCACCCAAATAAAAATATTTCATTGCATTACTCAGCTCAGCTTTCCATCACCACCCAATATGGGTCATCACAATAAAAACTGCTTATAAAAAGTGAGGAGCAGGAGAAAAGGCAAAGTGGGATGAACAGGCAGAAGAGAGTTAAATCCTGAATCATCACAAAATTCCACCAGACCCACCTGCTGAATTCTACTGAATATTAGACCTGGACAAGAAAATTGTTTTTCCAGTAGAAAAACAGATTAATTAAAGAGCTTTTTATTATAATCTATAATAAAACAGTGTAACTACTTATTCTGTTATCATTAACTTGTGCACATTCATCAAATCTGGTTCATTTTTACTTGCCTAATTTCACACTGACACATAGAGGAAGCTGATTTCCAGTGCTGTTCTTTATCTGAATGTTTACCTTTTAAGCAGTAATCAAAACAAATGAATAACTATAAAATGCTATTTAGAAGAGCGAAAAGGATGCCAAGGGAAGCCTGGATGCAGATTTCAATAGGAAGGAAGAGGCAGGTGCTGAAATGCAGGCTGCAATCAGTGTTATGCACAGGGGTCAGGGGTTGGGAGCACCCTGAGCCTCTGCTGGTCGCTCCCTCCCAGGGTTTATTTCCATGCCCACACGCAATCCCACACACACAAAGCAGCCTCAGCTCTGACCCGGGGACAGCAGAGCCATTCAGGGCCCTGGCAGCCCCATTGTGCTCTGCTCTCCCTGCTCTCAATGCAATGTTCAGCTCCAGCTCAGCGCCCTGACAAAAAGGAAAGCACTTTATGAATCCAATTTAATTGGGAGGTGACAGAAAGCACAGAGCCATTTTCCTCAGCCTCATCCCTGAACTGGCTCCAGTCTCTGCCAAACCCCACCGAGCACAGAACACCAACCAGGGCACCCCAAAACCACTGGGATCTGCACAGGAGGCATTTTGGGCATGGAGGAGAGAGAAAGGCTGGAAGGGAAGGAGAGGAGCAGGGAGGGAGACAGAAAGAGCCCAGCAAGAGGGGAAATGGATGTGCAGCTGCCTGGCTGCTCAGCAGATGTCTGCCTGTGATGTACGAGGCCGGCAGAGGCTGTCGGAGCTGCTGCCAAGCCCTGCCAGGTGATTAAAGCCTGCTCCAGCCTCAGCACTGCATTTCCAGCCCCTGGGCTCCCCAAGTGCCACCCAAGGCTGCCCGTGCTGCCAGATGCTGCTGCCTGGGGCAGCAGGGAAGGCAATCTGGATCCCAGCCCCTGTCACCCATCCTTCACCTCTGCCCGCGCCTCAAACTGCTCCAATTTGCTGCCACCTCCCTCCTGGGAAATGGCCAAGATACAGCTGTGCCTGGCAGAGCCATTTGTTTTACTCAGGTGACTCTCTTCCCTCAATGACCTCTATTAGTTTAAGTTTTAATTTAGATTAACCCCAGCACCCCAATTAACCAGGGAGGGGAGAAGCTAAGCTGGGCCTGCTCATATTTCTGAAATCACCATTTAGCACAGTTACAGTTATTAGAGGGAAAGATGGGGACACTCATCCATTGCTGTTTTCTTTTTAAAAAATTAACATTTCATGGCCAAGAAGCACCTTCTCTGCAGAGGTCCTTGGACTGTCAACCTCAGCTGTTTCTCCTCTCCATGATTTTGTTACTCCAACTTCACTTCTTCTGTGTTCTGAGGGTCCAATCTGCCCCCAAAGCTGGGCTGCTGGGCTACTTGGACCCTAAATTCCACCTCAGTATTATCTCAACAGATTTATCTTTATTAAGATTTATCTTCAATCCCTGCTGCCAAAAGGACAGGCCCTGTCCCATCACCACTGGCACCCTCACATGGCAACAGCTCTCTCCTACTCCCCCAGCACTTTACTGGCCACTCTAATAATTATTCAAATTTTAAAAAAATCTGTCTTTCCAGTGATAAAATGATATTTGTTTAGTCCTGAAGGTCAGGCTCGGTGTGGATCACCAAAGCAGGCAGAGGTTTCACACTCTGGGGAAGGGCTTACAGTGACATATTCCTCAGTATGTGACAATTCCAGTTTTCACAAAGCTGGCACTGTCTTCATTAACTGAACTACAAACACAGTGTTTCCCTGCGCTGGGTGCAGATTACTTGCTTCTAAGAATTCTGCAAATAAAGGAATAACTGGCCTGGATCCAAGCTGGCCCAGTTCCAAGGGAAGAGCTGGAGCAGCCCAGGAGCTCTCCCACTCAGCAGGCAAATGAGATGGTTCAGGCTGAGACAAGAACAACTTTCCGTGCTCCTGAGGATGCTCTGGGACTGTTTTTCCTAAGGGGGCTCTGCCCACAGAGAACAGAGAGGATTCAGAGCTTTTTCTCCTTTGTTGTTCCCCAGGGAGAACAGGCACAGCTCCTGCAAGCTCACACCCACAGGACAACTCCAAACTCACACAGCCCCAGAGCAAAAACTGAGAGCAGAGTGCCCTGAGGGACCTGCAGAGATTCTGGGTGTTAAAACAAGCAACTGAGTTTTACAGGTAAAGAGAAATACAGAGCTCAGAACCAACTGCATTTCCTCTGTGAGCATTAAAACCCAACTGGAGCCGTAATTGCAACAACACACATTTAGCATCACCTACCTGGTGATAAAAGTCATCATCATCAAATATCTCCTCATCAATGTCCTTCAGGTGCCTGTTGGAGTCTGAGGCAGGGAGGACTTCCTGCAAGCATCAAGGGAACACTGAGAGCTCACATGGGCACATTTCTGTCCCTGGCTCCAGAGACATCACCTGCAGCAGCTTGTAAGCACACTTGATGATATGGAGGAATGGGGGAAAATTCCCAACATAACCAGCTTTTAAGGAGCAGGAATACATTTAAAGGCAAGGCAGAAACGCTGCCAGTGCCAGAATAGATTTATGATGCCTTTACTGGGAAATAAATAGGACTGTGCAAAGTCTTTCTGGCAAAATACTACAGATATTTTTAATGCAATGGCAAAAATACATCTTGCAAGTCCAGTAATTCTACCTGATCTCTCAGAATTGAGTATTTATTCATTCTTAAATACTAAATTAATAAAGGGCTTACTACTAACATATTCTGTAGGTTATATGCAGTATGATTTTAAAAGGGACTTTCTGGGTTAAAGACTCTAAACTGCAGAGTGAAAACCAAGTTTTGCTGCCACTACCTCAAAAATCAGATTTAGTGAGCAGCACAGGAGGGGCACAATCCCAGCTTAGGGAAAACCTGTCAGGAACTGGGACAGGAGATAATCACAAACTGGAATTTAAATGTTTTTCCTCAGCCATTACACCGCAGGAATCCACACTCAGAAATGCAGCAAAGTTTGCAGAATTTTATGGCTTGGCACTCTATTACTGGCATGTTTGGCTGCAAAGGGAGATCATTTTCTGTGGGAAAAAGAAATCATTTCCCCTGGGTGAAATCATTCTCCTGGGGTCTGGTATCAGCTCAGAGGTGGCCCTAAGGGGGCTCTAAGGGCAGGCTCGGTCCTCCCTGGTGGCAGCTTTAGTTTTGGAGAAACCCAGCAAAGTTTGGAAATGTTCAGGTTGCTACCCCAGTGTCAGCAACCAAGGGAGCCCATTTTCCATGGAAAAGAGAAGTGTGGCTCCCAAGGGAGACCATTTTCCATGGAAAAGAGAAGTGTGGCTCCCAAGGGGGACCATTTTCCACGGCAAACAGAAGTCACCCTCCTCCACCCAGCTCCCAAACAAGCACACCCCATCGCGCCGCCGAGTTTCCCAGGCTGAATCACTGAAACACCAGCTCTGCAGAGCTGCCCAGGATGAATCAATGAAATAAACCCCTGCTCACCTCGCTGTCAGGCCCGGCCTGAGGGGCTGGGGCGGGCTGGGGCTCCTGCCTGCCCAGCACGGTGTACAGCGAGCGGCGGGTCTGCGTGCGCCGCAGCAGGCGCTCCCTGTCCAGCAGCACGTGCTCGATCTGCGCCAGCACCGAGCGCTCCAGGGCTCCAAACCCCTGCAGGGCACCAAGCACTGTCAGACAACACAAACACAAACACACACTCACAGCCTCCCCTCGCTCCGTGTCCCCATGTCAGCTCAGTGCAGGGATTGCTGTGAGCGGTTTTTATTTGTTTCACCCTTCCCGACCTGAGGCGAGTTGATGCCTGGCTTAATAAAAGGCTTTTGCTGTTCTGGTTCAGATTAACTTCTCCGTGATTAATACCAACTCAGAGATGTGAGGAGAGCCTGGATCTCTGGCTGAAATGATTACACATTGTATTAAACACTTCATGGAGGAGGAGAGCCTCAGAGGGCCCTGCTTCTGGGAGGAACCACAAACAGCTCCTGCAGCAAAAGAGTGACATTTTCCTGGAGATCATTGGCTGTGAGGGGATGTCTGGTTGAGAAGACACAGAAACTACCAAGAGACACCTCCCACAGTCCCAGGTTGCTCCCAGCCCCATCCAAGCTGGCCTTGGACACTTCCAAGGATGGAAGAGGCACAGCTGCTCTGGGCACCCTGTGCCAGGGCCTCCCCTCACTCACAGGGAAGAATTTATTCCATGTATCCCACTCAAATTTCCCCTTTTTCAGTATGGACTCATTCCCCAGATCCCTGCTCCATGGGACCCATGTCAGCACACACAAACCAGGCCTTGCCTTGCCCATTTTGCCAGTTGCCAGCTTGGTCTTGTCGTGCCACTTCTGCAGGGTGCTGTTCCTGTAGCTCCTGAAGTCCCTGTAGCGCTTGGCTATGAACTCAGGGTACTCCTCAAACTTCAGCTTCCTCTTGGGGAGCCTCCTCCTCTTCTCCTGAGCCTTCTCCACTGGCTCCTCATCGCTGCTGCTCAGGATTTCATCCTCACTGCAACAAGAGCACTCAGGATGAACACCCTGTCCCTCCCCAAGGCAATGTGGGATCCTTGCTGGCCCCTCCACACTGATATTTCTGTTAAAAGCCCCATTTAGGCCCTGCTCCATAATCAGAAATATTCCAAACCAGACTTCCCACAAGGAATGCAAATAACAGAGTGTCTGTCACCCAGGCCCAGCATCACCTGAGAGAGCAGCAGGGTGAGGGTGCTCAGGAGGGCTGGGCATTGTCCTGTCTGCAGAACAAAGGGTTCAGGAAGATTTTATCTCTTTTTTGCATTTACCTCTCAGTCTTTGCTTGCTTTCCATCCACCAGGTGCCTCGTGCCTGGGTACTGATAAAGCAGCTCATCCTGAAGCTCCACCAGCACTTTCAGCAAGGCCTCCAGGGCTTTACAACCTGCAGAGCCAGGGACACAAGTGAGGAGATCTCATCTATGGGGGAAACTTTAAACCATGACCTGGCGAGTTTAATGAGAGGACTCTGATCAGAAAAGCAGAACTGCAGGCCCAGAGACCCTCAGGAAGAGAGAAAGGGAAGAAGAGATGGGGTGGAGGGTGTAAATTGATCAATACATGGTGTGAATGTGATTTTTGCTGGGATGTGCAGTTGCACCTCACACACACAAATCCTGAAGGGAGATGTGATGCTGTGTATCCAAAGGTTTTTGCAGCTGACAGTTCCTGTGTCCATGCAGTGCCTGTTCCAAAGGCTGTGGGCTCTCCAAGGTCACTCAGCTCCAGCTGACTGTGGGACAGGTTAGCTGCACACTGCCACAGCATCTGCTCCTCAAAAACAGGGGCTTTGTGTGGGGAGCAGGAGCTGGGACCTGGATTTGTGTGGGGAGCAGGAGCTGGGACCTGGATTTGTGTGGGGAGCAGGAGCTGGGACCTGGATTTGTGTGGGTCTGTGTGAAGAGCAGGAGCTGGGACCCGGATTTGTGTGGGGAGCAGGAGCTGGGACCCGGATTTGTGTGGGGAGCAGGAGCTGGGACCCGGATTTGTGTGGGGAGCAGGAGCTGGGACCTGGATTTGTGTGGGGAGCAGGAGCTGGGACCTTCCCCAGAGCTGCCCCTGCTGCCTCCTGTGCCACAGAGCCAGTGGGGCTGCCCTGATAACTCCCCAACCTCCCCTCGTACGTGGCACAGAAAGAACAGGGAGAACTTTTCCCCACTCCATTGTTGTCTTTATTTCTGCTTTCAGTGGGGGACACAGGGATCATGGGCAGAGTGAACAGCAAATCTTCCTCAGGCAGACAGAGGCAGAAATCAGCCCAGACACTCAGAGGTCTCAATCTCTGCGTGCTCCCACTGTGATATTGCTCAGCTGTCACCACCTTCAGATAAATGATGGCCTGACCTCAGGAACAGCAGTGTCAAGGAGAAGATGCTTTAAGATTTCTGTTGCAGATCAGCTGCTGGACTGGCCCTCCCTGAGCCCATGGTTCATTATAGATCCACCCTGACAACTGCTCTATATAAACCTATTAACGGATTAGGTTTGCTGCACTTGTAAATCAGACGTGTGTGAGCATCAAAACAATTCCACCAGACAAACAGACAAAAGCCCTTAAAAATGCATTTGTTGTAGGTGTCTGCAGCTAAAGCATCACTTGCAGGAGCCAAGTGCCCCCACCCTAGCCTGAGTGCACAGCTTACACCAGCAAAATCCTTCCCACTGCCTGCAACACAGCCCAGTGTCCCCTGAGCTTCCCAAACTGTTTATTTTCTCCCTGCTGCCTCTCCTCCAGCAGCAGTGCTAATGCACCCCAGGCAGCTTTGATCCTGGCAATTACAAGTGGAGCAGCACTCCAGCCCTTGTGGGGTACAGCAGCAAGGAAATAAAGACAGGCTGAGGCTGCCCCAGGCCCTGAGACAGAGCCCAGCACACGTGGGCATGGGGAGCAGTTCCATTTGGAGTGAAGGGGCTGCAGAGGGCAGGGAAGACAATGAGCGTGTGTCTAACCAGGTGGGAGGGCTAATTACTCCAGGCAGTGCCTCCATCACAGCCTCTGAGAGCTGGGGAATTTCCCTGCTCTCAGTCATTGGGTATTTAATGGCATTACTGGATGGCATTCTCACTTCTGCTGCTGGCTGCTTCAGTGTGCTGTAAACTCAGCTTCAGAACCACCCTCCTCTGCTCTCTGCCCATCCAGCCCTGCCCCATCCATCCCACATTTCATCCAGAGGGGGCTGGTTTTGTTTTCTTCCCAGCCTGCTCTCCCTCTGAAGCCCCTTTGCACTGCCTGCCTTGAGGCAGAGTCTGGCCCCAGCTGTGAATGAAGGCAGCACAAACCCAAACTGATCCATGGGTGCAAACTGGGCCATTTAGAAAGGACCCTGGACACTGACTGACCCTCCTACCTACCCCCAGCAGGATTTTTGTAATGCTGCTCCTTGTCTGGAACAGGCACACAACAAACCTGGCTGGAATGGAACCTCCAGCTCAGATGGGACTCAGCGTGTCAGTGGTGAGACACTACCCTGGAAGAGGCACTCTCAGGAGTCCACAGGAGCCCCTTCCTTTGTGTCCAGGAGGGAAAAATTGTTCCAGACCCATCAGGCAGCAGATGAACCCACCCAGAACGCTGGGAGCCAGCACCAGTAAATCACAGTGTGCCTTTCTCTCAATATTCTTACATCTTCCCTTATGCAGCCCCCAGCCAGGCTGGAAGCTGCCCTGCAGGATTTAGCTCCATTCAGGGACAGCACTGCCATGGATCAAAGTACCAGGAGATCCACCAGAGGTGAAACCTGTCCTGCTGCTGCCCTCAAAGCACACAAAATGAATTCTGTCAGTGCCAGGGGCTGTGGGCACACTGGAGAGGGCACACCTGGCTGCAGGGGCTGCTGTGCTCATCCACGCTCCAACCCCAGCATTCCCACAGCTCCCCAGCCAGGGAAAGCCCTGCACTCCCTTCCATGAGCTCTAAAGATGGGATCTCATTTCACCCTCCCAAGCAGCTGCATGGGACACTGAATCCTTGGGAAAACCCTTCCCAGGATGTTCCAGCAGCAACCACCACCCACCCAGCACACAGCTCCACTGCAGAGCTGTGCCAGCACTGCAAATTCAGGACTTTTCCCTTTCAGTTCAATCTGGGGCTCTGGCATCACAGGCATGCAATGCTTTCCATCCTCCCTGCCCCTCCACAGGCTGGGGAAGCACCCACACAGGCAAGCTGGGGCAATGCTGGCATTGGGATGAGGGGATGCAGAGCAAAAGCTGGGCTGGGAGCGTTCCCTGCCTCCATGGAGAGTCCCCAGGGAGCCCCCATACCATCAATGAGGGGATGCAGAGCAAAAGCTGGGCTGGGAGCGTTCCCTGCCTCCATGGCCAGTCCCAGGGAGCCCCCATGAGCCCACCACACACATCAGAAGGAGGAGAAGAACCCTCCCTCTGATCTGCATGGCTGCACACAAGGAGAAGCACCTCCACCTGGCACACAGGTTTATCCCAGGAGAGGGGGAACCTTCCCTCCCTTCCAGGGCTGTGGGACAGGAGTTAAACTCCAGGTCAAAATGGCCCTGGATGAGCTGGCCCTGGAACAATGCTCCCCACTCACAGCCAGCAGCAGCCACTTGCACTCGTCATCCCCAGCAATTAATCCCCCACCAAACACGTTTGATTAAATCTTTTCAAGCAAATCCTTTGCTTTGCTTTTGTTAGTTCACTTCTTGTCAACATCTATTAAAATATGCCTTTAATTCTCCCACAATCTTAAAAAACACCGATTCCACTGTCTTCAACTTTAATCAACTGTATGGCCGGCATTTTTCATTTCATAATAATGTGCTGTTTGGAATTCAAGAGGCAGGCTCAACATCAATCATTCGGCAAGAATTTTTCCACTGCAATAAATATGCAAATGAGGAAAGCCAGTCAGTCGTATTTCAGGCCCGACTTGCTAGTGTTTTAAAAAAGACACAAATTTATTAATTGCCGTTGGCCAGCGGAATCCTATTACTTTGGGCATTGATTACAAAGCTGTGTGAGTGATTATTGTGCAACTCGCAGGCTATCCAGGCATGAGGAAAAATTATTAAAGCAAGGCAGAGATTATCAACTCGGAATAACAATAAGCCTTAACATTTTAGGCCTCTAACTTCTTCAACAAAGAATTACGCCGCAGCTCCAGTGTATCATAATTCTGAAGGCTGTCAGTATTACTTTTGGAGCTTGCTCTGTATTCCCAGCAGCAGGGAAAGGAGGGGGGATTCCTCCAGGTGGCACATCCCGGACATGGGGCTGGGGACGGGAGCCTGGATTCATCCCAGGGTGGAAGGAACCTCAGGGGAACAGGCAGGATGGCAGCAGCCCCAGCCTGGCAGCCCTGAGCATCCTGGGGTCCCACAGCAACATGGCACAGAAATTAAAGAAATGATTCTGGTGGGTACAGGAGCTCCAAGAGCCAGCCCAGACTCAGTGTGATTTTTTTACATTCCCATTTCTCACACACTTAAAGCACTGGGAAATCTGTCCAAATGGGAACAACACTCCTTCATGCTCCCCAAAGCAGGGAGTTTGGGGAATTTCACCAAATGACAGAGGAAAAGGGCTGACTTTGCTGCTGGCAGCTCCACACCCAAGCCCAGTTTGCTGGTTCCATTGGAATGCAAATGAAAATTGTATTCCCTGGGCACAAAGGAGCCAGGGCTGCACCCCCCTGCCACAGCAGAGCCTCAGCTGACTCCCAAGGAGTCCCAGAGCAGCCTCAATTTAGCCCTTTCACTCCAATATTACTGCATCTGACAGGGAGGACAACAGGATCAGACACAGATGAGTTTGCTAAAAGTAAAGAAAATAAGTGGATTCAACAAGAGAATAAAGGCTGGGTGCTCAGGGGTTTATGAGAGGGGACTGGGGGAGGGGGCAGCTGAGCAGGAGAGAAAGAGAAACACTTCCATGAAGTTCATGCTCTGCTGATTCACCTCAACCATCATCCTCTGGTATCAGCCCAAACCAGGGAGGGGCTGGGGCTGGCAAAAATGAGATTTATAAAAACTGATGCTTTCCATTACTGGAAATGCAAAGAAGCTGACAGCACACATTCCTGCCTCTGCCAGCCTGGAGGCCCCAGGTACGTGGGCAAGGAGGAGAAAGGAAGAGCAAATGTGAGATTTCACAGTTCTATCTGGATATTGAGGCCAGAAGGGAACATTAGCCCATCCACACTGACCTCCCCACATAATACCAGGCCATTAATTATATTTATCATGACAAGCTCTGAGTTTCCATCTCAAGGTACCCAATTGCCAATTAATCCCAGTTAGCTGACATTTGCACACGCTTGTCTGGACACTTTTAAAGCCTTTGTTTCCCTGCATCTTGTTTGTGCAGTACACAGACTAACATGCACAAATATTTAGCTAAATTCAGTTTAATTAGCTATTAATCTTG